GACACTCAATTCAATATCACCATTATACTTGTAATTAGGCCATGTTATTGTAGAAATTTCTATATTTAACTCTTTAAAATTGGCTTTTACAAAGTTAAACCGAGTATAGAAGTTAGAAGTTTTATGATTAGTCTATGATTTCGACAGATAATACGAGGCCTCTGGTAGAACAAGAGGATTACTCTGAATATCGGAACACTATCAACGTATACTAAATCTAAGCATTTACCAAATTTATTCGGAATCAAATTAATTTGGTTCAGACCCAACTCGGACATTTTCTCAAAAAGCTCATCAAAACATGACCGATTGCAAATCGATACGATATAGTCATCGAAAGCTTTCCACAAAGCACACAGTAAATTGAAATCTTCTAAAACGATTATTGAATCTGCATTATTTGCCATCGAAGTAGCGCTATTTATTATAGAAGCGTGTTGGATGTATAAGTTTACAATAGTTAAGTCAGTCTCTTGAACTGCCAAAATTGCATACTATGCAGTTTGGATTTCTGAATGACCGACAGCTGCAATTCAACACCTTGCAGTAGCCACCGACCGTGTGACCGGCGGATGTAACGCAATGCCTTACACAAGCTTTGGCGTCAGCAGAAGCTTAGAAAAGCAGCGTCAATGGCAGTAGCGGCGATAGTAATAGTAGGTTATAAATAAGAGAAATGAATTTTAATAAAACAGTTTTAGAACGGAACTCAACTTGTGTTTATTTAAAATAACATAATTCCGTGGTAGTCGACAATACCGTCGCTACCGAATAAAGGAACAGAAAAATTTAATAAAAATATAACTTATACAGATAAGTCCGAATGAGGTGGCATATAAGATAGGGTTAAATAAAGAAAGAAACTATTAACATATACTCTAATATATTTAATTTCAAATGAGACGGTTCCTGGAACAAGAACATCTTCAGATGGGATAGCGGCACGTACGGCAAATAGAACACCTCCACCGATTCTGTTCAGTCGATCACATCTAAATATTTGAAATTCGCTGTAAATCCAATTATATGAAAATTATAATTGGAACTGTTTAAGTACAAGTCGGTTAATTTTGTGTTAAGACCTCTAACATTTTGATAATAAATAGCGAATTTCTACCAATCAGTTTTTTATATCGGTGGTTGCTTTTGGTAATGTAACAATGTTTTCCTCAGTATGATTTCTAAGTTAAATTCGCGTACAAAAGCCCCAGGTGACAGAATGAGCTACCTAAGATCTTTTTAAATGTTTCAAGAGATACGTCTATTTTAAACGATGATATACTTCTATCATAATTGAAGTTAAATTTACGGATACTGATATCATAAATTTTTAAACGCGACGAAATGTAAGACTTAATGTCCTCCACCAAGGTATCTTTGGCAAGTCTAGAAATAAATATAGATTTTCTAGGTGGAATTACTGCCAAATTTTTAACAGATGCTACTAAGTTATTAGGAGGAGCCTCTGGAATTGTGAGACACTTATTATTATTAGATAGAGCTTTTGGGGAATTGAGCTCTTTGGAAGTTGACAGCTTATTACCTTGAGGGCAAGGAGAAGAGAGATTTATTATGTCATTTGGAGAAGACGTAGTCTTCTGTACAGAAGAACTAAGTGTTACTTCATCGGAAGGACGTTTACGCTTAGGAGCAGGCTTGGAGGATTCGTGAGAATCGTTCAGGCAACTAAAAGATTAGAACAATTTTTCGTAGTGCCTAAATTTTTCGGTGGGAGTTTCAAGATCTCGACCGATTTCGTTAAAGCCGTTGCATGTCTGCCTATAAACTTTAAATAGACCTATTTCAATAGATCTAAAATTTAAACAGGACCAACGCACATCTCTTGCAGTCGAAAATAGAATCTAAGGTTCTATCTGTCAGTCCAGAACATTTAATATGGGCAAGCCAGCATGAAACGTAGCGATCTGACTCGCCGCTGATGTTACAGTTGGAGAAGTTCCACGACATAATAAACAACAAAGAAGTTCAAATGAAGATCAAATAAAACAGTAAGTAAAAAAAATCTAATTTATATATAATAAATTAGTGTGTTAATAAAAATATTAATAATATTAAATACAATTAAGAACAAACGCAAAAATAGAAGCTATTTTTTTTATCAAAGTTCAAAATCAAGGCAATTTGAAAAAACAATAAAGCGAGCAGTTTTAGATGCACTGGAACTAAAATTAAAAACTACACGCAACACACCTGAGATAAATAAGTAGATGTGATAAATAAAGAGAGAAAATAAAATAAAATAAAACAAAATGAAACAAAAGCTGACTCGGCACCAAAAATTCAAAAATTTTAACTTTATGATAATGCACACAACTTGAGATCATTTATACTTAGCTTGCAACTCAGAATCAAATCACTAAATATCCAATGAAATCACTAATAAAAATCAATTATAATTCAAGAGTTTTGTAAAATAAATACACAAAAGTTTACTGCAAAAAATTACAGCCTTACAGCTTGCAGTTTTTTCTTTGAAATGGTATATTAAATATGTAACCAATTGTAGTTGTATTCATAAATATTCACAAAATGATATTCATGTTAATGCATATGATTGCATATGCACACGCGGCTGTATTATAAAAGGAAGTCTCTGAGCATAATTTTCATTCGATGCCATACGTGTGCCGTTACAAAAATGAGATGGATTGAAATTATTTATTTATTGACTACGCCAATCAGCATTAAACATAATAAAAAATCAGTATAAGATATAGATAGTTAGTTGAGGGTACTTGAGAAAAAAACAAAAATATATATATACAATATATAGCGCGCTGTGGTAGCAGTTACTGGTGGGGGAATTGAATAGATCAAAATCCTAGATTACAAGAGTAATTGTTTCTTGGTGTTATCGAGGAAAGCCGTGTATGTTCCGCCGTAGAAGCCAATCTCACCCGTTTACAGGCAGTGAAAACACCTTCACCACGCACTTGTTCACTAACTTGAGATATAAGGTCTTTACGGTAAATGTTATAAGATGAAACAATAACCTCACCATCACGTATAGATGAGTGAAGCCAAGACTAAGTGATGCAGACAATGTCAAACTGGTTAGCCGCCGAAGCGGTCTGAAAGGCGCAGTTTTGTGCACAGACCTCGTACGTTCTGATAGTACAGCTGGACAACGTCCACTGAGTTTTACGCGGGTACCTGCTGACGACAGCCTTACCCCACGGCGCTCAAAAAGCACAGCGGATCAATACAATGCGTTGATCAGCGCCTTGAAAATGTTAGGCATTTTTCAGTACGATTGTAACTGGGTCGGCTTCACAGAATTTACCGAGAGTACCTTTACCGGACTCCCATTCCTACGGACGTCATCGTTGGCGATCCAAAAGACCGCGCACCATGCTGATGCTAAAACAACCCATAAGCTTGCCTTCAGAAATGCGCACAGCACCACCACAGCACTTAGCGTCATAAACGCCCATCTAGTTTATGGCCATAATCAACTCTGCGAGAGGACGATCCTCGTAGCGTCGGCATTTATCCGAACTGTTTCGAGGTCAAAACTCCAAACATAGAAGAATTAAACAGGGGGTTCCGTAGGGCGGTGTTCTCTCCCCGCTACTGCTTAATTTCCATTGTTCGAAACTCCCCCAGCCATGACTGCACGATGTTGATGTCGGGCAATGGAATCGATGACATGTGCTCGAAAGTAAACGGCTATCTCTCCGACCTTTTTCGCTTCTTCTCTGCAAGGAGCCTGATACTCTCCCCAACTAAATCCACAGCGACCATTTTCACAAACTGGACGAAGGAGGACATACTGGATTTAGACATTTCAGTCGATGACATTAAAATTTCGACAGTCAACCTAAAATTTAAAAAAAAGTACAGAGCCGCAACAAAATCCTCAAATCGCTTGCCGACAGCTCTTGGGGAAAAGACAAAGAAACGTTGTTGGCAACATGCAAGGCAATCGGCCGGCCGGTCCTAAACTATGCATCACGAATATGGTCGCCTGGATGTAGTGCAACGCAGACGAAGAAGCTTCAGACTTGTCAAAACCCTGCATTCCGGACTATCATGGGATGCCTCTTGACGTCCCCAATAGAACACCTGCACAGTGAGGCCCTTATGCTTCCGGTTAAGGAACATAACGAGCTCCTCTCCAAACAGTTTCTGCTGGGATGTTTTCGCAGAAATTACCCCTGTAGTCGTCTGCTTGAAGTGGAACCGCCTCCTAGGAACATCAAGAGGTCCTTCCTTGAGTACGTCGACGACATCAGACAGTACACCGACCGGACTTCGGACGCAACGAACTTTAGACAAGCACTGACCGCCATTCACAGTAAACTTCTTCCTTCACCGACTCCATCGCATTGAATGGCATACTAGGATTCAAACCACCACCCATAGCAGACGTAGAGCTCGAGTTGCCTCGCGAATCCAGAGTGACCCTCGAGCAGCTTTGTTCTGGATATTGCAGTAGGTTGAACTCTTACTTATTTAGAATCGACCCCGACATACCCAATATATGTCCTGCATGCAATGAGTCTCCGCATGACACTAACCACCTCTTTGCATCCAGCCTATGGTCCGACCCCGTCGAAACAGCTCTTTTCCTGGGCCTCCCGTTAGATGCCCTCGACGACAGCCAAACTATAACTTACCACCCAAACGGGGACTGGATAACCGTTACAACAACAAAAAAACAACATGTGCAAAGTGTGTAATTTTTTGTCAAAATTAATTTTTTTTTCAAATTAAAAATTATGACTTTCCGGAACTTTTTTTTCAATTCCTAAGAACGGTTCAAATAATAAAAAAGCATTAGAGTATATAAATATTATATTTTTATTTGTCTTAAACGTATAGGCCAGAGATAAATTTTACCTCATTCCTATAAATAAATATATATATTTTTTAGAAAACAGACATAAGTGAATGTATATGTAACTTTTAAAATTTTCTCAACATAATTTATATATCCGAAGTACTTAAATTAAGGACACATTACTACATTTCTAGGATAATACCATTTTCTTAACTACTCATCTTTAAATTCAAGTTGGTTTTGTAGCCAAAATAGCAAACTGATAGTAAACTTTCAAAGTAATTAATGCAAAGTGTTAAGATGTTTCAATTGTTAATTCTTAAGGCAATATTGTGTCGAATATCCGCAAGTAATTATAAATCATCAGGTCCCAATAGTTGCGCACATTAGACACCCTGACCTATTATAGCATACAAATACAAAATGAATACTTTTCATTAATTATTTTTGACAGACTACCATATTGTTTCGAATTTAATAATTAAAAACGCTAAACAAAAGACTTGAAATATTTACTTACATACAAATCTTATATTTAATAGTATTACTTATGATAAATTAAAAGATTCAATTTACAAATCATATTTTCTATTTGCTAATAATTGTACTTCCATAAAGGAGTTTCCGTCAAATTTATAACTAAAGGCAAGAACTATATACTTCCATTTGTTGGTATACTCGTTTATCAAAATCATCGGAAGTGCAATTAATTTATATAATTCATAATTCATCTTAATTGCCTTTTGAAGTTTTCGGGTTTGCCGCTATCAAACATTAGATAAATCCGTTTCTCCAGCTCTATTATTTCCTTGATGTTATGTGCCAAAGTAGTGATCAACTTTTGGGCGCTGAACACCTCATATTCGATTTTTTGGCAAGGTCGTTGTCGTTAATGATCGCATATTCACTTTCATTCTAGTATCCAGTGTCAGTGCTTATCGAAGTTTTTCGTTTAATGTCTCGTTCAAAAGGCATTTGGTTAGTCGCATATTCATCAATATAAAAAGCTATGGAAATAATAACATACAATTCAAGATATATAAATATATAGTTATTGGAAAACATGATATTTTTAAATTAGTTATGAGTTTTGTGCAAAATCTACAGAATAATTCCACAAACAAATTCTACTTAGTGGATGGGCGGAGCAAATATACTAAGTGTGCAAACGAAATAGAACAAACAAGTCCAGTTGAGTTATACTGAAATTTTAATACCCAATGTGTATACGTTATCTGATTCGAAAACATTGTTAAACAATTCAATAAGATTTTACGTACAAGCGCTGAACTAAATACTTGGCAGTTATTTTTATAGTTCACTGCTATTTTATTATTTCTTTTTTTTGGAATCCGTTTCTGGCAGAAATAGACAAATTGGTTAAAAACAAAGTAGTCAAAAGGGGAATTGGCCGACAGCTTTTGCAACATGTTAATATTGATAAATAAATTTTATTGTATTTTATCTTAAAAATGCTTTATTCATAAATACTAGATTGTAACCACAAATTCCCCCTGCGGGTAGGGGTAAGAATTTACCCGCGGTAAGGCATGCCTGTCGTAAGAGGCGCTAAAACCCAAATGCACTATGACTGTTATTTTATTTTGCCCAGAAATATCAGCATAGTAAATGATGTCTGAAATAGTGCTATAATATTCAGCTTGAACTGATATTATAGACTCTAAATGAGATTCCAAATAAAAAGACATTTGAAGTTCAAGCGACAAATGTCACCAGTCATTGAGTAAGGCGGAGCTCAACTGGCAATAGCTTCGGCTACACAGTCTTACCGGAGACTCAACTCTGGTACCACGGTCAGCAGAATGCCCTAGGACTTCGGTTCAATCTGCTCATTGGGTTCGGCCCTTTGGGGAGTATCGTGGTGGCTGTGGTTTAAACCTAAATGCTGGAAGAAAAGAATTTTCAGTTCAAAAAAGAAGTTGCACAAGCAACTGGGGTCCGTACCCGAAAACGGAAGAGGTTTTAGTTCGGCCTCGAATCCTACCAAGATGGTCAGTGTGCCCCTACACAATGGCCACTGGTATCCAAATTAATACTTGCAAATAGCTCGTATTATTTGGGACGCTTATCAACGCATTGTTTTGATACGTTGTGCTTTGGAGCACCGTGAGGTAAGGCCGTCGACGACAGGTACTCACGTAAAACACACCGGACGTTATAGCCACATATTGATTTTAGCGTACATTCGTTCAAGTGCTTCACACATTGGGTATCGAAAATCGATCAGATAAACTAGATTTTAGCCCCTGGATACTAATATACCATTAGTCAGTAAAGTAGCTTAGCTTCCTGATTAACATTAAAAGTATTTCCCAATTTGAATAGGAAAGAAAGATGATAGACGATTAAAACAAACTGAGTGAAAATTATATATTTCAGTTATCAACATAACTAATAATGATTTTATACTTTCTACAAATGCAAACAGTTAGTAACCAATTACAAACGATAACAAAACAATCTAAAGTTCATAGAAAAGACAAACTTTTCAGTTTTGCTCAAAATCTGTTGTTTGAAAAAATTTACCTCTGTCCATCATTTACTATTTTATATTTTTGATATAGATATTGTCAGCACAAATTTAATAATTTTGGTATCGCAATCATTTCTTTTAAAAAATATCTTCACGAAATTCTGGTTTGCTGGGTATAACTTGTACTGTAAAAGAAAAAATGCAACAAAAATGAAGAAATTTTCTTAGTTAAATTATTTTATACTTGATGATAATGATTTCGGGAATATGACATTCCATTCTGAAGTTCCATATAAGTTAAAAAGCTAAAATTAGTACTTGTAATAAAATTGAAACGAATATTATATTAACATAATCATTTAATGCGCGTTTTACCATTTTATACGTTATAAATGAACTTCAGATATAGGATATATATACACTATTTGCTGCTCTTACCAGACTCTACTCCATTCCATTCACTAACTACATTATGATGATGCTGATGAGGGTTTGGGTGATCTTCAACAATGCCTTCAAATAATTTTGGATCGACCGCTAGTTTTTCTTCTTCATCAATTTCAAATATTTCGGTAACTTTAACCTGTAATAATAGATATTTTAAACAAAATTTCATATTGTAATATTTTTACAAAAATGCTTACTTTATTTGTAAGATCGTCGGTATAGTAATAATATAGCTAATAACTAAAGCGCATCGTTATGAGTAGTTACTTTGAGAACATGTTCATAGTTGTCCACATCTCCTTCTATTGAAGGAGCACCCATGGAATAAATTCATAACTTTTTATACACTATCTAGAAAAAAACTTATAATTGTTGTAGGACATATCGATGTTTATGGTCTCATTGCATTTAGCAACTTAAAATTGTTTAAATTGTAGCTTCATTTGGAATAAACATTAACAAAGAGAGAGAGAATAAACATTATCATAAAAGCATCTACAAAAATATTTAGTATTGCTTTCAAGCTCTTAGCATATACATATATATATATACGACTAGTAGATCAGCCACGCGTTGTGGAACTATGGTACATTAACCACTAAAGATCAAGACATTATTGCCGGTTATAGAATTTAAGGGATTAGCCTTCTGAATACTGGTACTTTAATAGTTGTGTAGATTTAGAATCTTTAGAGTCTGAGCTCATTTAAAAGATGTGTTGAATTAGATACAAGGTTTCTCAGTTTAATTTGTTGAAATTTCAGAAATATTTTAGTATGTATGTAGTCATATGTGTTTGAGAGAAGACACTTTCAAAAATAAGTGTTTCGAATAAATTAAAAAAAAACAAAAACGTTTTCAATTTTCAGAAACAAAATGTTTTGTTATTAGATCTCAAATTGCCGCATTTTGTATGCTATTCCGCTTAAGTGTTTGTATACCTGCGCCCGTATGTATGTACAAATGCGCGTGTATATATGTTCGCAGTACGAAACCGCGAAAAGGAGAATTAATTACCGTAGGTAATTTTCGTAAAATGATGTATATTTGTATGCCACGTTAATAGTTGTGCGGAATGAAACAAGTTTATCTCGATGATGCCTATCCGTAGCAAAGTGCACGAGCGGTTTCACGTCTCAAAGTGGAATCTCTCTCTTTGGG